ATTAGTTTCTGCTGTTAGATTCTCAGAGAAAATCTTCCAAGGCAACTAGTCTTATTTTTTTCTTGTTGCATAATTGGTCAGTTTTCAATAGGCATAACTACATCCATTAAATTTATACGCCCCTCACTTCATATTTTGGTGCTGTTACAGGTATTGTACTGGAGGAATCAGGTGCGAAATGGCATCAGCCTATATTAGATCAAAAGGTGCTGGATATGAGAATGTATTTCAGGTGCGCTCTTGTAAAGAAGAAGCCTTTTGTTTTTATAGAGTAAGATTCATGCTTCTTGATGATGATCGTGATGACCTCTCATGCTATATGAATTTATTTGCAGTTATTTGGTGGAATACAGCGTTATTTGGAACAGTTTCCAGATGGTGGGTTTTTCAGAGGAAAGAACTTTGTTTTTGATCACCGGTATGATTCTTTAGGTGCTGAATGCCTCTTGTGGTCATAGTTGGTATACTTTCTATTCTCCGATTTGGATTGCCAAATAGATGCATGTGAAGAAAAGCCCATGAATTTGTACCCACACCCTGTGCCCTATTTCTGTTTGGCTTGTCAATTATATCTATATCTATATGTTTATGAAGGTTAATACTAATTAAACAATATCATTGAGTATTTTGGTGATAGAAATTCAAAATAAAAAAGTTGGAATACCTATTCTCATTGTGACTGTAGGATTTCAGTTGGGAGTTCAGATGCAAATATTTTGGGAACCTGTCTTCTCTGTGGCATGTCGTTTGATGATTATTCTTCACGCCTCCGTTGCAGTTATTGTAGAATGCTTGTCTTAGTTTGTGATAGTTGCCAGGTATGCTTTCTAACTTAGTTTTATCATTACTAATTGAATGATTGACTGTTTTAAAAAGTGATCTCATTATGTTAGTGAGCTAGTTCAAGTTTCACTGCGAATTTGGTCACCAGTCTTTGGGTTCCTATATTATATTAGGGTGGATCAAGAAGATTTTTGCTTTTGTTTTATAAAAATCCTGCATTTAAAATGGTATATCCTTTGTGTGGAAGTCTCCCTGAGTACATTGTCCTTTGGTAGCACTCTCTTTAGATTCATGTATTTGTGTCATTGTTACTGAATTTTTGAATTTGTCTCAGCAGAGGAAGGGTTCTGTATATGTCTGTGAGCTTTGCAAGAATCATCACAAGGGTGTTGAGTTGGTTTCTTCCTCTGAAAATGGAAGATTAAGTTCAATGCCACAACAAATTGGGCGTGAAACTGTCTCTTCAGATGCTAAGCCCTCGTCTCAGCTGCCTTGGAGACAGGGTAAGGTCTGTAATCTTAATCTCTTTGAACAACCGTGCTTTCAAGCATACCGACACATCTTGCATTTGCAATTGGGTCCTGAAGTATTAGACGTTCCTCATTTTCATTGTTTTGTTCCTAATGTTGTAATAACTGTTGTCCACAGCCGTTGGGTCTCCTCCAAGAAAACTCAGAATCTTGTGCTTACATGGGTTTCGACAGAATGGTTCAAGTTTTAAAGGAAGAACGGCATCCTTAGCCAAGAAACTCAAAAACATTGCTGAGCTCGTGTTTGTGGATGCACCTCATGAATTACCATTCATATACCAACCCTCAGCTGTCGCAGAGTCGCATCAGAATTGTACATCACCCCCTTCATCACTACTACAACAAAGTCCTCCACCACCGCCCTTGGAGCATTGCAGGAAAAAGTTTGCGTGGTTCGTAGCACCTGATTTCAGAGGAAAGAGTGAGAGTGAAAGCGACAACCTGGACAGGGAGTGGAAAATGGGAGATGGTCCATTTGATCCTCTGCAGTACCAGCAGCAAACAGCTGGGTTTGAAGAATCATTGGCATACATCAAAACTGTGTATGCTCAGAAGGGGCCCTTTGATGGACTGTTGGGATTTTCTCAGGGAGCAGCAATGGCAGCTGCATTAGTTTGTGCCCAGCAAACCCGAAGGAGGCTTTTACAAACTGGTGAAATGGAGTATGGATTTGTGATTTTGTGCTCTGGGTTTGGCCTTACAAAGTTAATGGAGGTTGAGGAGGAGAAAATTCAGGTGCTGAAATGCCCTTCGCTTCACATATTTGGCAGTGACCATGGAAAAGACAGGCAGATTGCAAATCAAGCAAGCAGGAAGCTTGCCTCCTTATTTGATGAGGGTTGCTCTGTCACCATTGAACACGACTCTGGTCATATCATTCCCACTCGTCCTCCTTACATTGATCAGGTCAAGGACTTTCTCGGCCGCTTTCTTTAACATTTGGGCCATTTTGTTTTTGACAAAACGATATTCTAACTACCTAAGTCCTATATGGATCCTGTACCCCTCATTTGGACCTTCATGTTAGTCACATTATCATTTCATTAAACATAAGCGACGTACCCTAATGTATTGTATGATGATCGAACGGGCACATTGTGTTCGGCCAATTATTTGTGCCTTTTTGGTACTGTTGTTTGCTGTTTGGATCTTGTGAGCCCATTGGGTTTTTTAATTTTATCTTATCTTGGGCTTATTGTGATATGACAAATTTGATTTCCTTTTACCAGAAACAGTAAAACAGTACAAAAGAGAAGGCATCTTATTTTGGATTTGTTTGTTGCAAGTCAAGGTCAGTGTCCAGTACTGACTGACAGTAAGCAACAATTTAAAAAATAAAAAAGCAAAATAATTAACTTTGAAAAAAAAAAACAAAAAATCGGGAAGCGTGCTTACGCGTTAAGTCCATCAGCATGACGCGGCTTCACCGTCAAACATTGCAATTAACAAAACCAACCAGTCTCTAGATAGATTCCCTACCCTCCTCCACCTCACAGCTACAAGTTTCTCAGCCAATCAGCAGTCACCACCTCACCACTGACCAGTCAACCCCACAACCATGGTTGAGTTATTAGCTGCCAAGCTCACTTAATTACTTAATTACAAGGGAGCAGCTTAATTAGATTTTTAGATAATAAACAATGCGTACGGAAAGCTGACGCGTGTCCCCGCGAACAACGCGTTTTCTTCCTTCCTTTATTTGTCCACCGCCCTATATATAACCCATCTTCTTCCTCCTCACCACTCATCTGGACCACCACCAAGCTCCCCTGTTTACTTACTTAACATACAAGCCTCAAGGTCTTCCAAGTCAGTCAACACCACACTCAGACCTGTACGGATCTACCAGAACAAACAACCCACTCACTCTTCTCATTTCATCGCCTCAAAACCCATTTCAATTTTGAAAACCAGAAAATGATCTCAACTTTTATTTGACGAGAACCGAGTAACCCGATAACCCGACACGGTTTAGACAAGGGAAGACGGAAGGTTCTATCTTGCTAGACTCTTGAGTGTTTGCTTTTGCCGGTTTTGATGGCGTCGTCTGAGAACGTAGCGAGCATGATGGAGCCTTGGGCCTTCAGGACCAACACGTTCGCCGACTCGTGGATCTCCGAGACCTTCTCGCGCGACACCAAAACCCTCACCAGGGCCCTCCAGAAGTCTCTCTCCAACAACCCAGAATCGCTAGATTCTTCCTCTGATATGTTCATGCCGTTTCTTAACAACATCCTCCAACCCGAAACGGCACCCACCCCTACTGTTTCGGGGCTGTCCGGCTCGGAGGATCCCGATACGAGCCCAGCACCGCCGAAACGCCAGCAGCGAAACGCGATTCCGGTGTCCGGTGCTGGTGGCGGCAAGGTTTCGAAACGCAAGTCTCGCGCGGCGAAACGGTCCCAGACGACTTTCATCACGGCGGACCCGAGCAACTTCCGCCAGATGGTGCAACAGGTGACCGGCGTTAGATTCGGTAACGAGCAAGTCCCCTTGCCGTCGATTCTGAAGCCGGAACCTCAGAGACTAGGTAGCCGGTTACCCGGGATTGGCTGCTGCATGCCGACCCTTGATACGTCGGCGTTTCTCCTAGAGCATCACAATCAGCAGCAGCAGCAGCTGGTAGGGCCCACGACGATGACGGGGGCTGGGCTCAACACGACATTGACTGGGCTTGGGCCAGCGTCGTTTGGGCAGACGAGTATTGGTGAGGACGTGGCATCGGCAGGTGGCGTTGCGTCTGGGGGATTAGGTTTTGACTCTTTCTCGAGCTTTCCCACTTTAGAGTCCTGGAAGGTCATGTGAGATCCATTTGACTTGACGAACCATCACGCGACACGTTGCGGTGATGGTGGTGTATGTGCTGACGTACCTGTCTATACGACTTAATATTAATGTGTATTTTTTTTTCTTCTTTTTTTATTTATTTATTTTTAATTTGGTTAGTAGTTTTTAATCTCTTTGTTCCCTTGATATGATTTCATTTACGAACGGAACAATGAATGATGTATGGACTTGTGTTATTAGTTCGAATTAATGAATTAGAGTTTTTTGTATGCTAATTTGTGGCATTCTATATTTACTATTTTGCCATTTTAATTGAAAATATCTGATTTTGGAGCTGAGCTAGTCAGTCAAGCAAAAGGAAACTTAAATTGAGCTTGACTTGACCTCATAAGATAACTAATGACTTATTAGGTCTTTAATTAAATCTAATATGAGTGACTAACTACCAACTCAAGGCATGCACTACAGCCATATTTAATTTAAAAGTGCTATACTTTGGCAATTTTTATTATTTGTTTTCATAGATACTTTGACAATTAAGATAAAACTATGATTCTTTTTATATTAAAGCATCCTCTTATTGGCATATCTTTGTTTGACCCTACTCAGATCCTTAAGGCCTTTCTTCTAGGAAGTTTCAATTTTTTTTCGTCATATTTTTTCTTCATATTCTAAAGTACGGGAAGGGGGATCTAACTCGGGTGCAAGACAGCGGGCACATTAGCTTGGGCAACTCGGGTGTGAGAAAACGAACATATTAACTTGGTCAATTGGCCCAACCCATTTATAGAGGAACAAAAAAGGGGCCAACAATAGGGTAGTAAAGAACACAAAAGAAAGCCCAAAGGAGCAGTAGCCCAAGTTTACCCAATAAGAGAAAATTGTGAAACAATGGTGTATTGGTAATTTGGATTATGGCTAAACCCCCATTGAGACTGTCTTAAACCCTATACAGAGAAGTCTGAACTGAAGTACCAGAATTGCCATCTTCAAACAAACAAATACTTTACCAGCTTCAGAGATTGTAGGGTGAAAGGTTTGGGCGAAAGCAAAAATGAAGATCGTTTTAGGAAGACTTTTGCAGAGAACGTCACTCAGACAGGTACCTTACCTCCCACTTTCAATATGCGTCTCAACAGTTGTGTTTTATTTTTAATTTCTTTTCTTATTTGAGCACGTTTGCTTGATGCTTAATCTGTTTCTTTGATTTTTCAAGCTGAATTATCATGTGGGTAGTTCTCAAATGGTCCATAGGAGTCCAAATGATGAAAATGATGACAATGAAGTCCAAATTGTTGTTGGATTTAGATGATAAAATGGTGTCTTTCAAATTACCTATATGGTTCTGTTTTCAATTTCCATTTTTGTATTTTTTTTCTTCTTGAGATTTCCGTGTTGTTGTTGCTTAAACGCTCTAAATTTGGTATTTTATGAGTCGGGTTTACAGGCAATTGGACGCCGTGCATATTCTACAAAGAAGATAGTTGATATTGGACAGCCATCTCCGGCGTCACATCCCCAGGTGCTGCTGATGCTTTAACATCAATGCATATTGGATGCATAGATAAATTTGTACAACTAGCAGGGTGAACGTGCTAGCGTTCACTGTGGCTTAAAGTGAAAAAAGAAAAATGGATTTATGCTTTGTTTGATGTAAGATTATTACGTTATAATTGTTGTTTGCTTTTGCAGTTACTGAAAGAAGGGGAAATTACACCCGGCATAACTTCAGAGGAGTACACATTGAGAAGAAATAAGTTGTTGGAGGTGCTCCCAGAGAAGGGTTTGGCCATTTTTGCAGCTGCCCCTGTAAAGATGATGACTGATGTCGTGCCTTACACATATCGTCAAGATGCTGATTACTTGTATATTACCGGCTGCCAACAACCTGGTGGCGTGGCAGTTTTAGGTCATGAATGTGGTTTTTGCATGTTCATGCCAGAAGCGACATCTCATGTATGCCCCTCCTTCTGTGATAATATTTAATTCTATAGTATATTTTGTTCTATTTAGCACAGTTCCAGTTGTTGTAGCTTCACATTTCTATTAATATGGTCATATGGACTAGCAGTTTCAGATACACTAGCAATTTGGGACCTATAACTTGAACAATAACCAAACATCGAATTGTATCTTTATTTCATTTATTGGTCTTCAAGGAAGAATGTTTAATATTTATCGTTTCATTCTTCTGAAATGTGCATGTGTCATGTTGCTATTATTCTTGTAGAGAGGTTTAGACTGCGTATATAGTTCAGTACTGGCTACTACATAACTTACAAATATTAAGCTGTAGATAAATTTATAAGCTAATTTCTTTTTTTTCTGGGTCATTCTTTGGTTAGGATGTTATTTGGCAAGGGCAAATTGCGGGAGTTAGTGCAGCACTGGAAGTATTCAAGGCTGATAGAGCATATCCAATGAGCAAATTACGGCAGGTGAGTCTGACAATTTGAAATTTGGAGAACAGTTCCAATTTGAAAGTATAACAAATTATTTGAGTGCAATCTATTAGTCAGAATAACCATGCCCTGTTCGGTAAGAGTGCTTAAAATCAACTACATAGAGATTTTTACATAATCAATATCATTAAAATGTTCATTTTAAAATGAACATTGTGTCACTAATACAAATTAAGGTGACATTGTCATAGTCATACCAAAAATGTGAGAACTTGTTTAACCTGAACAGCTCCATCCTGAGTTGAGTTTTTAGAATTTGAACTTCAAAGTGCTGGACAGTTGTGGCATCACTAGTAGTTATGCCCGTAAACTGCCCTCTAACCATGTTATAGCTTAAAAACATTCTTACTTTCCTTTATTATGCATGCTATCATTATATATACGTTGCCTTTTCTTTTACTGACTGCAGATCCTGCCAGATATTATGAAGGGATCGTCCGAGTTGTTCCACAATGTGCAGACGGCTGTACCAACATATATGGAATTGGATGCTTTTCAGAAAGCAGCTTACTCTGGAAAAGTGAAAGATGTTTCGGTTTTCACCCATGAATTACGTTTGATAAAGTCGCCAGCAGAGCTGAAGCTAATGAGAGAGTCTGCATCAATTGCTTGCCAAGTACTTCCAAATCTATACTATTGCTAACTATTTTATCAGCCCATATATCTTACAATGGTTTGTCTCATTGCACGAATCTATATGCATGTGGCTTCACATGAGGTCCGTGTTGGGGTATTACAGTTGGCGTCATTCTTTAAAAGTTATATTTGCACCATCATGTTGTAGTTTCCGTACAAGTTCATAGTATTTCTATATCTTTGAATAAGGTTAACACTGAATGTTCATCATAGATTATTCCCTGACTTGTATTAATCGTAGATATATATTGGTCTTGGACAGGCTCTACTGCAGACAATGTTTCACTCAAAGACACATCCTTATGAGGGTAGGCTATCAGCTAAGGTTGAATATGAATGCAAAATGAAGGGAGCCCAGAGAATGGCGTAAGATTTTTCCTTTCCTGGATGGTCGGATCTGAAAATGTAATTTATTATTTTATCCACTTTATATATGCTATTTTACACTTGAAAATGTCTGGTGGAATAACAGAAAACATTGTAATTGAAATTTGGTTTGTGATGGTATTGTTGGAGAGATTTTTCCAGTGTTTTCATGTTTTGCAAGGATTTACTAATTTCATCCTCCATTACCAGATTCAATCCTGTGGTTGGTGGCGGGCCTAATGCTAGTGTAATACATTATTCTCGGAATGATCAGAAAGTGAGCTAATTATCAAATCCACTATCTACCTTTTGTGTCATAATATAGACTAAGAGAACATAAATATTCTTCTTTTTTTTTAAAAAGAAACATAAATATTCTTCGTGTATGCTTACAAAGGTTTGTATACATTTTTTTTCAGATAAAAAATGGGGATCTTGTCTTGATGGATGTTGGTTGTGAGCTTCATGGTTATGTCAGTGATATTACTCGCACCTGGCCACCCTTCGGCAGCTTTTCTTCAACACAAGTAAGGCATTGCTGCTTCTTGTACAAATTCTATTGATTGCTTTCGTCTTTATTCCTCTGTTACTCAAGAAGGTAGTATTTCTTTTGTCTTTATCTCTATTCCATTTAGGCTGAGAGCTTACAACTGTATTTTCATAGTGGCATGCAATCTTATTAACAGAAATATGCTTTAGCCCCAAAGCTTTTTAACACGACATTGAAGATTTTTGCAGCCAAAGAGTCTTCTCAGGAGGAGCCAAATCTTGACACAGCTTTTAGCTTATTTTGTTGGTTTTTATTTTATTTTATTTTTTTGGAACTCTTCAACTTTGTTTTTATTTTGTAATTCTCTTAGTGCATTGGAGTATAATATTAATAAACGAGACTTATCCATGAATCTACATTTCAGGAAGAGCTCTATGATCTTATTCTGCAAACAAACAAGGATTGTGTGGAGCTTTGCAAACCTGGTGCTAGCATTCGAGAAATACACAACTTTTCAGTATGATCTTTTGAGTCCGAGTTGTTATGTTTCTGTTAATTTTATTTGAGAATTTCATCTTCTCTGCACCCTCTCATAAGCAATGAGACCCTTATCTTACCCTAATCACTCTCTCTCGCATAGGTTGAAATGCTTATCAAAGGACTCAACGAGATTGGAATTCTGAAGGATTCTAGAAGCAGTTCCTACCATCAGCTGAACCCAACTTCCATAGGTTTCCCTGTCCATTCCTAGACAAAATTTTAGTTTGTTGTTTTGCCGATATAGGCATGAATGAAGATATGGTCTTAGTTTGTCGAAGTTTGAATTGGTTAATCAAGAAGTATTACGAAGTTGATATTTTGTTATTGACCACCTTCTCTGTGGGTTTTTTTTTGTTTTTTGTTTAAACGATGTCGATAAGATTTGTTGGTTTATCACTGTTCCCAAAATTTTAAGTTTTTAGGATGTGGGTTAGCACTTATTTGTATTAGTTAATCAAGATGATATGTGCCATCGATATATTTTGTAACTGATAAATTTGTTCTCTTCTACCGTCCAGGTCACTATCTAGGAATGGATGTCCATGATTGTTCTATCGTTGGTTATGACCGTCCTTTGAAGCCAGGCGTTGTAAGTTGCCTCCCTTATTTCAAACTCTGGGATGTGCTTCATAGCATATTTAGGGATGTAGGAGATAGAATGCAAGTACATACATTGCACACACAACCCCTCAAATTGTCTTTTTTCATAGTGTGTCTTTATCAAATTGTATATACACAAACTCTGGCTAAATGTTTGCACTGCATGAGCGATTCATTGTATGCTCTAATCTTCATTTTTTGTTTTTGACAGAACTGTTTTGTTTGTGCACAGGTGATAACAATTGAACCAGGAATCTACATCCCATTGTCTTCTAATGGTCCTGAGAGGTATTTTTGGGCTTAGCTCAGTCGACAAAATAATTGTTTTTTTTTACCAACTTTGAAATGCTACAAATCAGATTCCTTACTAGTCATGCCCATGTACACTGTACCATTGCCCTTGGACAAGCAGTTGATCTCAAAGAGGTTCAAATGACAAGTCCATCCCACAAAAAAGTTTTAATGCGATAAGCTGACTTCACAAACATCATATATTTCTTTTAACTTTTCTGCTCTACTGCTATCCAGTGGTGAGTTTGAATGAGAAACTTTTCACTCTGTTGAACGCTTCATGCTCATGCATAGGACATCAATCATCTTACCATATCTTTCAACCTTTTTGGTTTAAGTGTTCTGATACACAAATTGATGTATTGGGGATATATGATGCAGGTTTAGAGGGATCGGGATAAGGATTGAGGATGAGGTCCTCATTACAGATACAGGTTATGAGGTATATCATTAATGAGAAATTTGATATGATTTTTGTTTAGTGTTAACAATTTAGGTTTGCTTGAACCTCCCCAGGACTCATTTGATGATCCTAGTTTTGTGATTTTCTGTTTTATTAATGCCTCTTTGAATAGCCATACGAATTGGATTTTGATTTCATAAAAGGTTTAGTTAGGAGGTAGATATTAATCCATTGTCTAATATGAGTGACTAAGGCCTTTCCGAGAGGCCACTCTGTCTCTTTTCATATCAATTATCTTCCAAGCGGCGTCACACATTCTCTGTCTAGCTGCTGTAAATTCGTAACAAGCATGACATTTCTGTGCATGCCAGGTCCTGACGGGGTCGATGCCGAAAGAAGTTAAACACATTGAATCCTTACTAAACAACTTTCCCCATGGTAAGTATAATGCAGAGCCACAACAGTGAGAGAGCTTCATCCATTTGATGTGCCCTTATAAAATAAGCGTACAATACTGATAGAAGGAATTCGCTCGACCATTCATGTCATTCAAAAGCAAAGAGCTCGCTAAATGTTCTTATTCAAGGCATGGCATTTTCCTGCAGATACTTGACGTGGGGTTTTAGCTAACTTATTTCTTGTGTATCAAAATTTTCAATCTCTATAATTATTCCCATTTTGTTCTATTGCTATTATCATTTTGGCCACAGAACAAGTTTGCTTTTAAATGTAAGTATATTATTTCCAAATAGCTATCTATCTATATCTATGCCCTACTCGTATTTCGAAAGCAAATTGGACTTTTTTCTCTAAACGATAAAACAATGTGGATTAGTTAAGCAACTTCTTTCTTGTCGTTATAAAGAATTCTATAGTGAGGGCTTTATATATGGCCCTTAGGTGAGGTCCTATCTCTTAATTTTTGGATTGAATTGGTTAGCCGTTGGATCAAATTGGTTAGCTTAATCCAACGGTTGAGAAATAGAATCTCACCTAAGAGCCATATATAAGGCTTTAACTATAGAATGACTCATGAAAATTAAAATTACTTTAATGTTCTGGCCCTTAGCAGACCTAAAAATTATTTATGGCCCATATATATATGCATGGAGGGTTTTGACCTGTGGACTTGTTCAATTCAAGTGCATTTACATGGTTTGGTTTGGATGTTCGTAGTTAGGGGGGTCATGGTTAACCATTGATGGAATAGGTTGAAGCTAAAGTCGTTGCATTTACAGGTGTTAGGCAATGGTTATATATAATCAATGCATATAAAACTTTTTCTTTCCTACGCTCTTCGGCTATTTTAGGGACGTACTTACAAAAAGTTTGACGACGATGGATGAGTTTAACACTTCTCTTTTAACTTATGTACTCTATAATTTATTAAAAATATTCAATTTGGCACAATCGCGCTAACCTTATGAAACAATCCGTGAATGATGATAACATGAGCTTGGTGTGATTTATAATTCATGTAATTTATAATAGGGTTCATGGATCCAACGTGATTGATAGGATTATTTAAACATCAACCAAGTAGTAAAATATATTTTAAAATCCTTTGTCAAACGCCTTTCGTGGATCCAATTTTCCTCCAAAGATTTGTAGTTGGCTTATACGAAACCATTTCCATTTTTATCTTATATTAGTCCCCCCGTGAGAAACCAAAATCTTCTTTGGATTTATTATGAATGATGCCAAAACTTCGAGAAACAAAATCTTACAAATTAAGAAAACTTAGCACGCATAAATAGACTTAAAAAGAAAAATTCTTTCTCATTAAGTAAAATGAAAGTAGATCAAGTAACTCGGGTACAATGAAGTAGGCACACTTTCGTATCTTTACCTAACTAAATTTGCACATTAAAAGAGTTGTAATGCCAATAACATTTCCCTTATTTTCATGAGATTGATGACCTTCGTTCCAATCCCTTGTGCTACAATATATAGTACATACATCTGAAACTCAACATTTTTTTTGGGGTCAAGACTCAAGAGCACCTTCGTTCCAATCGAAAGAGAAGTACAAAGATAGAAGTAGGCTACCCACAACCACAACCAGAGAACAACAAAGCTACCAACAGCCAGAGAAAAGAAAGAAGACAAAGAAGGTACAGGGTTATGTATGAACTCTTTTACTGTTTTTAAGTGTGAAATTGGTTGGATGGGCTAGATTGAAGTAAGAAGGGGAACCCCACATGTACTGAAAATTTATTAGGGGATATAGGTGAGAGAGTGCGTCATTTTCTTTTCTTTTCCTTCTCGCAACAGTTCACGTATATTGAAATCCCCATAAATAGGTTACCTTTCCCAACTATAACCCCACGTGGAGAATTCTCATTAGTTGCCGCCTTAACCCTCCTCTTCCCCATTAATTTCGCTATAACTCCTCCCCAACTGTGTCATGAATGCATGCTTCATAGTTATTCAATACCCCTCCTCTACACCAAAATTACAAAGTGCCCCTGCTTCAGCGGAAATATTTATGGGAAATGGATAATACTGTTTTGCTATTCCACACCAATCACATATGAAAAAGTTATAAATTTACCTCCATCTTGAGTTCATAATCCATTTTCCAAATTATTTATTCATTATGAAACTATCATACTTAACCAAAATGGCACATTTTGCAATTTTTGGGGAGATAGAAGGGCAAATTATGAATGGCTTGTTGGGGATTTAGAGAATATACAAGGGCAAAGTTTTGGCTTCAAACCTATATGAACCCCACCGCTTTCAACTCAAACTCCCAACCTCACATTCTCACTTTCTTCAGCATTTTTTAAAACCCAAGAAAGCTCTACAAAGTAAAAGAAACTCGACAAGGAAGCAAGAAGATCAAAATGTCTCTTGTGACAGCAGAGATCAAGAGCAAGGCTGATGAGCTGTACCATGGAGATGAGCTCTGCCAAGAAAATTCAAAAAGATTGCTCACAGAAATCAGCCTGCCCAATGGCCTCTTGCCCTTGAAAGACATGGAGGAATGTGGTTATGTGAAGGAGACTGGATTTGTGTGGCTTAAGCAGAAGAAGAGCACAACCCACAAGTTTGAAAAGATTGGGAAGCTGGTCAGTTATGCCCCTGAAGTCACAGCCTATGTTGAGAAAGGCAAGATCAAGAAGCTCACTGGGGTCAAGACCAAGGAGCTCTTGGTTTGGGTGACACTCAGTGACATTTACGTTGATGACCCTCCAACTGGGAAAATCACTTTCAAGACTCCTTCTGGGCTTTTTAGGACTTTCCCTGCGTCAGTTTTTGAGAGTGAGGAAGCTGCTAACAAGGATGTCAAGGACAAGAAGGGAGTGAAGGCAGCCAAGGGAGTTGTAGAAGTCTAAGAACAGGGTTTAAAATGTCAAGATGACTGCAAGAGTTTTCATATAAAGGCTCTGTCTTTCTTTGTTGGTTCTTGCTTTTTGTCATTCTGATTGTGTTCTGTTGCTTTCTAGTCCTTCTAATAGTGCTACTTTAAAATGAAATAAAATTAGCGTTTTTTTTCCCATCAATTTTGATGGTCCAATTTTGATGGGCAGAAGACAAATCTTTAAGTCTTTCCTTATGGTTAGCAATTAACTTTTTAACATTCAAATTAAATGCCTTCTCAAGCAGATTTCTTGCAAACTTTGGATTTTAGACCAAAACCAGAAGCTATGAGAAGCATAAACCAGAAACTTTGGATTAGATTCTGATCATTCAACCAACCTTGAACAAACACAATCACCCCATCCAATGCCTTGCACCAAATAGCAGAAGCCATTTAAGTTCAATCAATTCAAGGGCATTCGAGTATCATAATGAAAAGAAAGTTGCAACTAACACTTGCCACAAAGGAGTCTACCAAATTCAGAAGTTCAAGATTGCTTCTTGATTACAAGGGCTAGTTTTGTAACTTAACATCTACTACCATAACAAGTACTCTTTGGAAACCTTTCCATTTGCACCAGTAATCACAGATGCAAAGCCTGCCAAAAATACACAATCAGACAACAACTAATTAAAGCTCCAAGAACAAATATATTATAGAAATAAGGAAATATCTGACGGTGCTCATAGTCATACTATCATCATCATTTGACGCTGAAACTGCACACATGGAGTAGGTTTCAGCAGGCAGGTGGAACTGCAACTTTAAACTCTTATTCATTTATGAACAATGTTTTTCTCAGATGATTATTTATGAACAACTTTCTGCACCAACTTTCTATTTATTGATCTTAGGCAAGGGCCCTAAGTTACCAAAAATGAGGATCAATGTACGAAGCAGAATGGGAACAGGGATTTCATACATCACTTAGCCCGGAACATGGAAAGATGCTTGAACCAATGGAAGTCAAGCTTTTAAATGTCATATATAATTTTCCTTTCGAAAATGAATAGTGTAGGACCAAATTTTTGAGACTTGTACAAGGCTCTTTGAAAATATCCTTGGATTTGGGGTTCTTCCCATTTTATTTAAATTTTTGTTCACTTTATTCATATTTTGCATGCTGGTAAAAGATTTTAGGAAGATGCTGCAGAAGTTAGAGCCCAGCTCTTTTCCTAACTCTCTAACTGACTCACATGAGGAGGAGGATCCACATGGATTCTACATTATTCTGCATCTCATCTTATGTAAAAGGGTTAAGAAAAAAAAGAGAAACTAATTAGGTTCTCAAGCATTTTCCAAGTTTATGTGTTGGAAAGTGGTAAAACTTTGCTTAATACTTCAATGTAAAAAAACCTTGAACATGGCAAAGTAGAACCTTGATGTCAATAAGAGTGGCTGAAAGTTAGAAGTTCATACCCGAGAAGCCATAACCCATTTGCCACCAATCCAATCCTGATGAAGCCTTAACTCAGAGTGCTGAAATTCAATTTCCTCATAGGTGCCCCTGAAGTAGACTATGTACCTTGAGCCCCTAAGAACCTTTGAGATCACACCAACCCACCAACCATCATTGTAATATCCATCAACCTCTTGAAGCAAACTGAAATGATCAACAACAGTTTCGGGTGGACAAGGTCTAATGTGCAGCGTATCAATCTCTTCTCTCAAAAATGCTGAATCATCTTCAGTCCTCAAACTCTGGTATTCAATAAGGAACTTGTCCTCCCCCACAGCTTCCACTATAGTTGCAGCAAACCAAGCACCATTAAAACCCTCTTCGTCACTGCTAACCTCAACTGGCGTTCCTTTGGTAAAAATCTCATGAGTTGACACTTTCTGCAATTTAGAAATCTCACCTTGTCAAATGTGAACTAAAGATAAATGAGATAAAAATGACCAACAATAAAAAGAAAAAGAAAGTGCCCAGACAAAGGAAGAAATGCTGACAGACCAAAATTGGTATACAAAAACCACCGAGGAAAGAAAATATCATCCAAATAAATTTGTTAGAGTTTCAAATCTTAAAACCTCTAGTCAACATTAGCCCTTGTGAGGCATCATCATTGGTCATTTTATTAATGTGAAACTCTAATGCTTGATTTCTAGTGAAGGATACTGGACCTCAAAATCTTAAGGGTGCTAGTTGTCTTATTTCCCAATGTATTATATTGTGATCCCAATGCAAGAAATCCCTTGCAATCTTTTAACCCAAATTGCAGTTGATCAAACTAAAGCTCAAGCACAACAATTCCTACTTATTTTAGCCTACATGCATACACTTTCCTTGTTTATGAAATTTTACTTTTTACAAATTGA